TGACCTGTTCTGGTATGTGAACCTAGTCATTGAGTTGGAAAAGATCTTCAATTTCCATCTTGTCAACTTCTTCTGATCGATTAATGCTTGAAGGAAAATGAATGATGTACTTTCTTTTTACTGTTTTGTTCACATGATATACCAATACTACATGGGGAAGGCACATCTGAATGAAAGTAGCTTGCCATTGATTCTTTTTCACCTGCCTTCTCTAACCAAAGAAACTGTAACTAAGATACATCCCTTAACTGCCTGCCAGGAGAGTAAGTATGGTTGAGAGTTTTTTAGTTGTAAGTACAATAAAATCCATTGGGAAACTGGATTTTACTTTAAATGGATAATTGAATCTGGGGACAGCACAAGAATTCAATTCCTTGCTGTATCAAGGAGACATGTATATCTCTCCTCATTCCAAATAGTTATACAACAATATGCTAATTACAAAACTGAACATGGTCCAGTTCAAATAGACATGCATTCAGTTCATCCTGTTCTCCAATTATTCACAGATACTGCAAATGGAGAAAAAATTTCACTTAATAGTACTCGGAACTGAAATTTTCCTTCAGTTTGCAGGAGATGCTCAAAAAGAATAATTCTAAAAAAAAAAATTAGCAAAAAAATATTCTCTGAAAAAGAAATTTTGGGAGCAACTCTTTTTGCTAGATCTTTTGATCAGTTCAGAGGCCTATTTTTGTTAGGTCTTTGATCCCTCCCTTCATTATCAGGGCTTCAAACTCACAGGAAAGAGAGGGATAAATTGGGCAGTTCTAATTAAAGTAAATCAAATCATTCTGATCGAGCCAAGTCCAGTCAAGTCCACCAAGGGAAGGTTTGTTATGTCACACTAAGATAGGAAAGGTCAAAGTAAGCAGTTCACTGCTAGCTTAGTCTTAAACAGCAGTCAGGACCAGGGATAGCTCCGGTTAGAAAAGATGTTGTCTCAGCATTGAAACTATGCACACACACACACACACACACACACACACACACACACACACACACAAACAGCCAGAATCTGGTCTTTAAAGTTCTCTGTCCCTGCTGGGTGATTATGTTTTGTTTTGTAGGGTGGTTTTTTTTTTTTTAAGGACTCAGGAGTATGTTTACATTCTCATGGTCCTGTATGATTGAGTGGAAGATGAAACAGACAATGGGTAATTCTTAGGGCAAGACCTTTGATGGAAGCCTCCATTTTTAGCTCAGGTTAAGAGGAAAAAAATCCAGAAATTTTCCCAATAATGGGATGACCTGTAATCATGAACGAAAAACAATCCTCAGAATTAACCAAGCTGGACATATTCTCTAGATAGAGTGTCCATTTGATGTTTTTACACTTTTTAAAAACAATTTCTCATTCAAACGACTACGGAGATTCTCGGTCATGGTTGTCCCAAAGGTGCTTCATCCAAGACGCTTCTCCAGTTTGTACTGAAATGGAACTGAAGAAGCTGAAGAAGCTTCTTGGATGAGAAGCGAAACATCTTAAAGGAAAACAGTTGCCTTTTGAAAAAGCCTCCTTTGGGATTCTCCTTCAAATAGAGGAAGCGAATTCGGATGGCAAATGTGTGTTTGAAGAAGCCATGGGATGCATTTGAATGTTCCTTTTTCATTCTATCATCCTCACGCCATCATTTTCTCAAGCTCAAACTCTTCGGGTTGGGCATGCAGATAACCACAGCTGTGTCAGAGTGATGGGAATAATTGTATCATGAAACAATCATTAGCCTCCACTCTCTGCCTCCACTAAGAATAAAACAAGCTCAAAAACACCACCAAGAGTAAGTCAAAAGAATTACTCAATGACAATGGAATAAGATTTCAGAAAACACCCAGAAGCCTCTTTCAGCACAGCTTTACCTGAAAGACATCTAAACTTAGGTGTTATTGGTTTCTGTGTTCCTTTATGCATCAGACAGATGGCAATTTTCAAAACTGGAGTAGTGGTTTTAGTAAGGATGAGTGAAACACTCCTTCTCAGGTCCATATTCCTTTCCTCGAGAAGTTTAATTTCCATCTTAACATAATAAAACTCCAGATTTAAACCCACTTTTAAAAATACACGCAGTATCTGTACATTTCTCCAAAATACTTGCAGGTATTTATCAAGCTTCTTTATCAAACTTGCATGCTGCCTATCTCGCCAGATGGCTTGCAGACATTGAATAGAATGCAGACTAAAAGATTAAAAGAATAAATAAATGGTAGAGTCCCTGTGGATTTTGCTCTACTAGTTGTTGTTGACAATAGGGTAAGGTGCTCAACTCCACTTTAAGGCCATTGAGCCAGCGGTGTCCAAAGACATTTGCACGGTCCTGTGGCCAGCACGACATCACGGAGCGCTGTTACCTTCCCACCGAAGTGGTACCTATTTATCTACTCGCATTTGCATGCTTTCAAACGACTAGGTTTTGTTTGCACCCACTCCAGCAAGTCCAGGACCATTCAAGAAGGTAAATCCACATTGCCATAAAGATTCCTGCTCTTGTTCAGAAGAAAAGTGAAGGCTTGGCTCCACGAAGTCTGTGCTTCATTCCAACCAGCCTGTCACTCTGGCCATCTTTTATCTTTTATTGATTTCTCTGTAATTTCTTTGTTTAATTGTTGTGAGTCACCGAGAGTCATGGGAGATCGGCAGCACACAAGTTTAATATATTATTATGGTTGGTCTCACAGTAGCCGGATCTGACATTTTTGCTCACTTATTGAGGCCTTCCCAAGAACCCGGGATAGGCAGATTTTTTTTTGGGGGGTGGGGATGGGATTATCACAAGATGTAAGCTGTTTCGAGCAAAGCTGCCTTTTGCAATTGGCTGATCGTGAATTTGTCAATGCTGATGATATTCAAGTAGATATTCTAGTATTTTGAGATTGCACCCAAGGTGCAATTACTAGTACTACTACTACTACTACTACTACTACTACTACTATTACTTCTTCTTCTTCTCCTCCTCCTCCTTCTCCTCCTCCTCCTCCTCCTCCTCCTCCTCCTCCTCCTTCTTCTTCTTCTTCTTGAAGGGACTCAAATGGATGCAGCAGATTGTAAATCAACAGAGGATGGTTTAAATCCCTCTGCAGAGTCATGGAAGAACAGGCAACAGTCCTTTTTTCAAAGTGGAGCACCCAACATGAGCAGCTGTTTACCTGTCCTTGCATGCAGTCAACTGGCCACCTGATTTTTGCCCAATATTTTCCTGGTAGCCATCCAGTGCCCCCCCCTCTCTCTCTGCCACTTAAAGCAGCTGATACAGACACGGTGGCGCCAGCCAACCTATAATAACTTGCTTATGGCCATTGAGTTCCACAAGCCCATCCCAGCTTCTATCTCATTTCACACTCCACCTTATTGCTCACCTGATAAGGACAGGCTCGGCGGAGAGACCTCCCCCCCCCTCTCTCTGCCTCCTCCCTTCCCTCTACCTCTTTAGTCCCGAACTGTGTCAAAACCAGTTCAAGGTTCACTCTTTCTTCCTGTCAAAGAGCTGACCTCTGATCCCAGAGGGCTGAGAAGAACTTCCAAGCTATGGTCTGAGGTTGGGAGCTAAGCCCAAGCTTTTAAGAAAGTTGGGACTCCTTTTGTTCCCTCTCTATTTTAACTTGGTGGTGGTGGTGGGGAATCTGGTGGGTGACCACCCTCTGAATGTCTTTCCCCATCCTTTCCCTCCTTTTCTTCTGGTTAAATGGGCTGGCCCTGACTGTTTTCCCAAAAGTACCTCCTCCCCCCACCCTTTCCTCTTCCTCAGCTGCTCATCCCAGGATCTTTCTGCTAGCTACAGGTCTGCTCTCCCCCCGGGGGGGGGGGGAATGCTGTTTTGGAGCCTTTTGCACAACTTTTCACAATTGTTGTGTGTCAGAGGCTATTCCCTATGCCAGGGGGTCTTCAAACATGGCCCTTTTATGACTTGTGGATGTCAACTCCCAGAATTCCTCAGCCAGGCACACTGGGGATGGGGTTAGAGTTAAACTAAAGTAGCGGTTAGTTCATGCATCATCATAACATCCATAGAGAAGAGGACTCCTGGAGAATTCACTGCAGCTCTGCTCCAGTTGTGATCAAGTTCCACCATCTTAGCAGGTCATGCAATAAAGCAAAGGAAGGAAGGATCTGCTTCCCATACCCTTAATCTGGGAAAGAAGCCTTTCTGAATTATTAGCAGGGCAACAAAAATAAATAATTAGGGCACGTTGACATTTAAGGGAAAGGCCGCTAGGAAGTTGAGGATTTTCAGCCCGATGCAGTCAAAGTCTCCCAAGTACCAGGGGTATTTAAAATGAAATTAAAATCCTCATTAACTGCTTTTAAGAGTCTTTGTGTTGACGAGGATCCCAAGTGAATGTGGTTTTTAGCAGCACAGACCTAAATCCATGCAGCCCTGTATGGAGCAAGCTTTCAGCTAAGCTGATCTAACTCAGGGGTGATATTAAGCTAATTCAGGTTCAATTTTAATTAGGGTCAATCGTCAGCAAAACAACAACTCGGAAAGTGTGCCAAATATAACAAAGCCATTTTAACTTAAAAGCTGAGGGTTAAAAAAAAGAGAGAGAGAAAAGGGGAGAAATACAGTAAGACAATATAAAATGTAAGATAACGTGGGATTTGTATAAAATAGGAATACAGGAAAAGAAATCATAGCATCATCACAACAAGATTGGGACATCACGTTTCTCCTTAAGGAAATGGCTACAGTTAGAAATTTAACAACTCTGTTGATAGAGTTATGGAAATTTAAAAGCAGGAAATAAACTGCCTCTTTCTCATTAAAGATTGAGGGCTTTTTAAGAGGCAATAAGGGCATGTTTGTGCAGAAATTGAGGTAGAAAGGGCATTTTTTATTATTTATTAAGCAATCTGTCATTCCCTAGCAACCAAAGGCATAGACCAGAGAACAGTCAGCGTGTTTGTCTGCTAGGTTGTGGTCAAGATGACAGAATAGTAGACAACCTATGACTCATTGGGTCATCCTTTGAAAAAAAAGATACTGCCTCTTATGTGACCAGAATGAATATTTAAATTTTAGGTTGACCATATTTTGTTTACCCCCAATTCTGGACAGCCCCGTGACCATTGAAGAGGAGTATGTAGCATAAATAGAAAAATAATCGTGGAGGCAAACAAACATCAATCGTAAGTCAATATTGACTTAAGTCAACTGATGAACAGAATGACCCCAGGCGGGCTAATAACAGTGGAATATTTATTTTCCACGATTTTAATGTTTCTTATGCTGTAAGCCGCCCAGAGTCGTTTCAAAACAAGATGGGAGTTGAATAAATTTAATCAATCAATCAAATAAAAATAAATGAAATTGGGAAAGTTTTCCGACTTCCTACTGGCTTCCCCATTAAATTTGCTTGTGGGAATCTGGCAGGTAATGTCATAAATTATCACAGGTTGACTGAGGGGATGCTGCAACGGCTGCAATTTTGTGAATACAATGGAAGTGAAGTGATAAAGAGATAAGATTAGAGAGAGAGATGATAGAGATAAGATGATTGATATAGATAGATGATAGATAGATAGATAGATAGATGATAGAGAGATAGATAAGATGGTATAGAGATAGATAAGATTAGAGAGAGAGATGATAGAGAGAAGATGAGAGAGAGAGAGAGAGAGAGAGATGAGAGGGAGAGAGAGAGAGAGAAAAAATTGACCACCATGTTGACTTAATGACCACAGTGATTCATTTAACAATCGCCACAAAGATTGTTAAATCAGTCATGGTCACATGATGAACGGCTTAACAACTAGCACAGTTTACAATCATAATTTCAGGCTGAGAACTATAAGTTGAGAATTACCTATATACTCTCTCTCCTTGGGTTAGACAGTACGTTTTGTAAAGTCAGCCAACTGAGGACAAGACTTCCTCCACGGTTAGTTGTGCATAGGAATTTGTTGACTTCTTAATCAAGCAACAATATGATCGTTGTGCGTTCCCTGAGCCATCAATGCTACAGGAAACACCCTGGGAACTACAGAGATGGGGGGGGGATGGCCGGTGTGAAGGAAATTGTTCTCCCTTATCTTTATTAACTGCGAACTTATCACTTTCCTTAGATATCGGATAGGAATAAGAGTTGGAGTTGAATGAATGGACATCCCAGATGAATGTGGGTGGTGTGCTTTCAGTCAGATTGGAGTATGACACCACCCCCTTCCAATGTTAATTATTACATCCAACTCCCCAACAGCTTGAATTGCACACGAGATAGACTATCCTGGTGTTCAAAGGTAAACAGGGCTTAGGTGCAAAGGAGCAATCCCTCCCGATAGAGTCAAGAGTGTTTCAAAACACCATAAATTAATCCTCAGATGCAATTTACCTGAGAGGCATGGAGATCATAAATCAGGCTGTTGACCTGAAGGATCTGGATCAGCCAGCCCAAGTGCCCCGTGCTATCATGTGGCTTCCACGGGAAAAAAAAACACCAGGAAAGAAATTAGAAGTCTTTTTTTCTGAATTTGATCCCTGGAATTTACAATGCAGGAATTTACTATACATATACACACACACACAAAAAAACCCCCAATGAAGACTCATGCATTCTAACAGGGAAATGCTTTACCCAAAAATTAAAATAAAATAAATGGATAGCAATTGGTCAACAAAAATGCCTGTCTATATATGCCTGCCTATACAGGGAGTCCTCAACGTACGACCACAACTGAGCCCAAAATTGATGTCGCTAAGGGAGACATTTGTTAAGTGAGTTTTGCCCCATTTTAGGTTTCATGCCTAAGATGGGAGTAAAACTCACCATCTCCTGCTGATTGGCTGAAAGCCAGCCAGCCATCTATTATGGCTAAGGCAGGACTAGAACTCACAAGTCACCCAACTGGCGTTAACCGCCTAAAGTGGAACAAGAACTCACAGTCTCCCAGTGATGGGCCCAAAGTCACCCAACTGGTGTTCAGGCTTAAGGCAGGACTAAAACTCACTGTTCCCTGGTGATTGGCCCAAAGTCACCCAGCCAGCTTTGACGGCTAAAATGGTGCTAGAACTCACAGTCTCCTCGTTCTTAGCCTGGTGATGATGGCACAAACGACATTCAACCTGCTTTTCTTTGTGTGACACACATGTGCCTCATGTGTACATGTGACTCACATATAAAACGAGGCACCGGTGGCTTCAGCTTGCGGTCTTGAGCACCCCCATCTAGGTGTGGGTGAATTTGCTGCGGAGCGCCGTTAAAAAAATGGCCAGGATCCGAGAGCTTAGCCTTCAAAGGTTGCAACCTGTATCAAATGCGATTGCAATTGTTGGCTCCCGGAGGTATCTCAGGATGAAGCATTACAAATAGCAAACACAGGGGGGGCTGTGCAACGTTTCTTCCAGATGGAAGAGAGCCAGACCCACTGATAACCCCTGCCCCTGTCTCTGGAGGCTTTGTATTTTACTCCTGATGGACGCTTGGCTTGTAGTTAAAAATGAAAAAGCCATTCATTTAAGCGTTTGAAGTGAAGTGAAAGATTGTGAGTCTCTCTCTCTCTCTCTCTCTCTCTCTCTCTCTCTCTCTCTCTCTCTCTCTCTCTCTCGTTTGAAGTGCAGTGGAAAAAATGAGCACTCGTTTAATGCAAGTAGCAAATGCCTTAGGATTTCAACCACTCTTCTTCCAAAGGCTGCATCGCCTCTCTGGAGCCAGGACACAGCCGCTGCCTTCATTTTCCGTGGCTAATGCCCCTGTGCCTCGGAGGATGCCAAATTCCCTCCAATTAGCCCTAACAAATGCATTATCTATGGCTTTGCCAGAGCTCAAAAATGCACCGTGCCAATTATATCCTTTTTTCTTTCCTTTTCAGTGTCGTTCAAGCAAGGCTAATATCAGCCTCCAGAGAGGAAGGATAAGTCATGATACACAAGCGATGCCAAGATCTTTGGGGGCAGCAATGGAGAGGATAAAAGCTCCGTCGTGCAGGTAGATTGAGAGTTAGAGAGCATGCCAAAAATATTTCCTGTTTCACACACACACACACACACACACACACCAAAAAAAAAAAAAAAAAAATCCCAAAACAAAACAACAACCTGGGTGGGAGAAAAATCCAGTTCATTCAATTCAGAGAAAGTGAGTTTTGCTTCTAATCATTGTTTCAGAGAAGGAGAGAATTTTGACCAGCTTCTCAAAAAAAAAAAAAAAAACCAGATGTGATCTCTTTGCCATAAAGAGACCCTGGAGGTCTTCTAGTCCAACCCCCTACTCAAGCAAGAGACCCCCATACCATTTCGGATTCTTCTTGAAAACCTCCAGAGCCGGAGCACCCACAACTTCCCGAGGCAAGTCGTTCCGTTGACTGATTGTTCTCGCTGTTAGGAAATTTCTCCTTAGTTGGAACTCTCTTTAATGATCTTTCACACGTTACTTGTTGTCCTGCCCTGGTGTGATGCCAATGCCTTATTTTACTGCAACAGAGAGAGTTGGAAGTCAACATTTTGCTTTTCTTTCCTCCTTTGTTCCCTATTATTTGCTTTTCTATTTTCGTATTTTATAAGTTAATAAAAAATATATTTACAACCGACAAATTCAACTGAGCACATCACAAGCAAAGTCAACTCTGATATCTGGGCTAGATCAAAATTAAGGCATCCACTAAACTTCCATCTGGAGTAAACATCAGAGTACTCAGGAGCCCCCAAAAGGCGCAGAGATATGTTCTTTAGTAGGCACCAGATGTATTATTTTACTAATAATACAAGCAATAGAACAATCGACTTATTTGGAATACTGCATCCAGTTTTGGTCACCACGATGTAAAAAAGATGTTGAGACTCTAGAAAGAGTGCCGAGAAGAGCCACAAAGATGATTAGGGGACTGGAAGCTAAAACATATAAGGAACGGTTGCTGGAATTGGGTATGTCTAGTTTAACGAAGAGAAGGACGAGGGGACAGGATAGCAGTCTTCCAATCTCTCAGGGGCTGCCCCAAAGAAGAGGGAGTCAAGCTATTTTCCAAGGTGCCTGAAAGCAGGACAAGAAGCAACGGATGGAAACTAATCAAGGAGAGAAGCAACCTGGAACTAAGGAGAAACTTCCTGACAGTTAGAACAATGAACCAGTGGAACAACCTGCCTCCAGAAGTGGTGAATGCTCCAACACTGGAAGCTTTTAAGAAGAAACTGGACAGCCATTTGTCCAAAATGGTATAGGGTTTCCTGCCTGAGCAGGGGGTTGGACTAGATGACCTCCCAGGTCTCTTCCAACTTTTATTATTATGGATCATCGCACAGTCAGCCAGATGTTCAGACTGGATTTGGCATTTTTTCTACCTATCGAGTCCTTACCCAGGATCTGGGATAGGCAGATGTGGATGTTTGATGGTATTACAGATATCGTTGCAGGATGAATTATTATTATTATTATTATTATTATTATTATTATTATTATTATTATTATTATTATTATTAATCAAATGCGTTTGTGAAGCCACCCAACTCAAAACAATGCGAGTCTGGCTGCAGAATAAGTCAAGGGCAATTGAGGTCTTTCTTGACTTGCTTGCATGTTTGGGTGTTCACATGCATAGGTGTATCTGAGCTGGCTTTGGCCCCGTAGCAGGAATCAAGGGGAGCCACACCCTTTGCTGAACAAAAATGAAAGCCATCTCTTTAAACAAAGCCATTGTTTGAATAGGCCAAGGTGCAACTGAGATGACAGCTGCACGGAGCACATGGTTTAGTCATGGCCTATTCTGGGAGAACTTTTGAAGAGCCCAGTTCTAGAGTTACTCAGCATTCCTGGAGGAGCAGAGCATGACTGTATTCCAATCCTGTCCTGACAAAGACACGAATTAGCGCAGAAAGGTGGCAGCCATGACATATAAGCTCGGGAGGACCAAGGAACAGAAAAGAAAAAAAAATCTTGGACCATCAAGGTGGAAATGTCAGGTTATCTCAAGTTGTTTCTTGCAGGGCTAGAAAACCAGCACGGTGACAGCTATACTTCCCTCCCCCTCGCCCCCTCTCTGGGATTCTTTCCGTATTCAAGAAGCAAATTGAAATACATCTGGAGAGAGACTGCCTTTGAAATAGAGGAAGTGTTGGCTGTTCATCTAAGGACTCAGAGGAGGTCATCCTAAAGACTAAAGACACAACCTTGTGAGGACTAGGGAAGTCATAGGTGTCTGACCCTATGCTGATAAATAGGGTCTGCTGATCTTTGTGCTTAAATTTCAAATAAATTTTATTCTGTTCACAATCTCAGCAACATTCCTCACCCCCTGACCCACATATGTCTGTCTGTCTGTCTTCTTCTCTGTCTGTCTGTCTGTCTATCTATATCTATCATATCTATCATCTATCATCTCTTTGTCTATCTATTATCTCTATCACTATCTGTCTGTCTGTCTATCTATCTATCTCTCTATCATCTCTATCTATCTCACTCTATCTCTCTATCATCTATCTATCTATCTATCTCTATCATATCTATCATCTATCATCTCTTTGTCTATCTATTATCTATCACTATCTGTCCGTCTGTCTGTCTGTCTGTCTGTCTGTCTGTCTGTCTGTCTATCTATCTATCTATCTATCTATCTATCTATCATCTATCATTATCTATCTCACTCTCTATCTCACTCTCTATCTATCATCTATCTATCTATCTATCTATCTATCTATCTATCATCTATCTGTCTATCTATCATCTATCTATCTATCTATCATCTCTATCTAGCTCTATCTATCTCTCTATTATCTATCTATCTATCTATCTATCTATCTATCTATCTATCTATCTATCTATCTATCTATCACATACCAAAACGAGTCACGGCTCAAACCATTTATAATATGAATTACCTTCAATGTTCAACTTGATTGCTATTGTCTTCTAAACACTTCTTCATTCTTGCTCGAGCAGGGGGATGGACTAGAAGGCCTTCAGGGTCCCTTCTAACTCTGTTATTTGGTTGTTCCTATAATGCATAACCTAAGAACATGTCTAACTATAGGAACATTTTCTCTGGGGAAAGAAGAGACGATTATTTAATATTAGTGACTAAAACGAATGAACGGTGTTATGACTGCCTGTGGTTACACCCTGTGAGGCTTTGCGCATGGAAATGACTACGCTGCAGGTACCAGTCAAGACAGGACCACCAAAAACACACACAAAGGATCAAAAGGCTTGGAAGAAGCCCAGATTTGTTCATCAATCAACATTACAATCATTTATTTATACATTTCCATCCAAGCAATATCGCTGATTCCAGCTGACAGGAAGGGAGGGGGGAAATGACTGGGCGATCAAGACAGGACGATGGGGTGATGCCCAAATTCGATGAATAGATTAAATCAATACATGGATTTTCCATCAACCTGTTCGGGGAGGGGGGAAAAAAAGAAAAACTGTTCGATTTGCCTCCCATGCAAAATAGAAGCCCCAAGTAAAGCCTTCCCGTCTGAGTCATGGATGCCCTTTCGGTGCCAAAGCACAGGTCACCTCTTATCACTGGACTTCTGCCTGCTTGAGGTGCCTTCTGGTGTGTTCCAGGCAGGCTGGCGGACTCGGTGAGACACGGGGGGGGGGGGTGACTCCACAAAGTTGATAGGCACCTGTCTCCACCCCTTCCTCCCCCTCCTCCAGGTCACACTTCCCTCATCCACATTGTTCTCTCCTGATAAGACAGGTGTTCTCTGGGCTGGGAAAGCTTCCCCCTTCGCCCCTCTGCCCCAGATCTCTCCTCTTATCAAGCGGCTGGCTGGCGCTAACTCGGCCCCAGGATGACGCAGGCGTGTGGACATAAGAAGGGAAGAAGAGATACAGGGCTCCGATCCGTGGCCGAGATGTCTGCAGGCGTGATGCTTATCTGGCCCCAAGTGCGTGGCCAGGGAGTGGCTGTCCCTTATCTCCCATTCTTCTCTCTTCCTAGGCAACAAACAGCAGCCAGCAGAGTTGCACATTCTTGTCAGTTCCTGCTAAACAGGAAACGCAGTTCATTGGGAGAGCTTTTCAGCTGGTACTCTCATTCCAAAGAGCATTTTCCTGAAAGGCCCGGAAGCGGGACTCTACAGCCAGTGTCCCCTCTGAATGGAAAAAAAATATGCCACCCTGTCTGAGTGGTACAATAGACGGTTGCAATTATTTTTCTATTACCCCAAAAAAAGGGGGAAAAAAGATGTTGAGATTTTGGAAAGAGTTCGGAGAAGAGCAACCAAGATGATTAGGGGACTGGAGGCTAAAACATATGAAGAACAGTTTGTCTAGAGTCTCTAGACTCTAGTCTAATGAAAAGAAGGACTAGGGGTGACAGGATAGGAGTCTTCCAATATCTCAGGGGCTGCCCCAAAGAAGAGGGAGTCAAGCTATTCTTCAAAGCAACTGAAGGCAGGAGGAGAAGCAACAAATGGAAACCAATCAAGGAGAGAAGCAACCTAGAACTAAGGAGAAATTTCCTGACAGTGGAACAACTTGCTTTTGGAAGTTGTGGGTGCCCCATCACTGGAGGTTTTTGAGAAGAGACTGGACAGCCATCTCATGGTTATGGGGAACACCACATCTCATGCAAGGGAATACTGTCAGTGTGTTCTCCTCTTTTGGGGTGTGGGCTGCTGGTGGTGGGGAGGCGAACCATGCCCTTTTTTACATTCAAATTGATAATAATAATAGTAGTAGAATAGAGCTGGAAGGGACCTTGGAGATCTTCTAGTCCAGCCCCCCCCCCCCCGCTTAAGCAGGAGAACCTAGATCATCTCAGACAGGTAATTGTCCAGTCTCTTCTTTAAAATCTCCAGTGATGGAGCACCCACAATTTCTGGAGGCAAGCTGTTCCACTGGTTGATTGTCCTCACTGTCAGGAAGTTTCTCCTTAATTCCAGGTTGCTTCTCTCCTTGATCAGTTTCCAACCATTGTTTCTCGTCCTTCCCTTTGGTGTTTTGGTGAATAACCTGACCCCCTCTTCTTTGTGGCAGCCCCTCAAATACTGCTATCATGTCTCCCGTTTCTTCTTCTTTTTAACTAACTAAACCCAAGCCGTTCTTCGTATGTTTTAGCCTCCAGGTCTTTGATCATCTTAGTAGCTCTTCTCTGATTTTTTTTTTTTTTTTTTTTTTGGCCAAACTCTCAACATCTTTTTTGTGATATGGTGACCAAAATTGGCTGCAGTATTCCTGGTGTGGTCTTACTAGGGCTTTGTAGAGATGGCGGGGATGCCAAAACAACAGTAACAACAACATCAAAAATCAGATTTACACTGAAGCTCTAATCTCGCCTTTTGCACACAGCAGGATGTGCCAAGGGTTACAGCTCCACTCCGGAGCACAAACAAGGCCATATAGATACACTAGCATCTTTAAAGTGTGTGTGTGTGTGTGTTCCCCCCCCCATTGCACTTTTGAACAAAAGCCCCCTTCATCTCTGCTGGAAGACCCTTCTGTATTTATTTTTCAGCGGCTTCCCCCCACCACCACCACTCAACTCCCAGTGTTTTATTATTTTTTTCAAAGCCGGCTCCTTACCCCCTCGTAACCCAGTGATACAAATAGGTTTAACTTCCTGTTTTAAGAAGTGAAAGCATGAGGGTGGGAGAATGCCAGAGAGCTTAATATAGTTCAAGGTCTAAATATAATAAGAATAACAAGGCTCCAGTCTGCCCCTTAGCAAAAAAAAAAATAAAATGAAATAAAAATAAAATGTCCAGTGTGGGCTGGATGAGGGGGGAAGCAATTCTTTACCAATCAGGGAAACAATGAAGGTCTTTTTCAAGTGTCAAGGAATATTCTTAGCCGCCCTCTGACACCTAAATCAAGAGAGAGGTTGTTAAAAAGGCATAATACCAGGAAGTTTGCTTACAAGATCTGTTTCCTCCACGAACACTGAGGGTCTATAACATAGGAGCCACCGGGCTGGGCTGGGGCCGAGGGGAGAGACGTGGGTGGGGAAGCTGGCAACGTGACCCAAAGACGTCCATCAGGAAAATCAAAGGTTGGCGTTGACACCGAGGACCATCGGTGGGAGGCGATAGAAAAAGGAACTGGTCTTCCTGCCTTTGGCTGTCGCAAGCCTGGCCTCCGATCTGCCCCTACCCATGTTTCTGAAGTTTTTCCAGTCAAGGAAAAGATAAAAAGGCTGCCGAGGACAGATAGCCCTTGACTGACCAACGTTCCGTTCAGTGACCGTTTGAAGTTAAAACGGCAATGAAAAAAGTGACACGTGGCTGTTTTTCACACTTATGATACCAATAGCACTAGCAAGGGCACTTAGGCATATATACCGCTTCATAATGCTCTACAGCCCTCTCTAAGAGGTTTAAAGAGTCAGCATGTTGCCCCCATCCTCATTTTACTGACCTCGGAAGGATGGAAAGCTGAGTCAACCTTGAGCAGGTTAGGATCGAACTCCTGGTGGTGGGCAGAGTTAGTTGGATTCACTTAACAACCGTGTTACCGACTTAACACCTGCAGCGATTCACTTAACAACAATGGCAAGGATGTCAGAGTTCTGACTAATGAAGCACTTCAAAGAACTTTCAGGCATGTTTCCTAAAGTCTTTATTACAGAGCTACAAAGGAAGGTCGTAAAATGGAACAACATTCACTTAATAACCGTCTTGCTTAGCAACAGAAACTTTGGGCTCCGTGGTGACCAGAAGTCAAGGACTATCTGTACAGGAAAGATGCACAGCCTGCAGTCCTGGATTCAAGTCAAGCAATTAATTGGAATAGAGCTGGAAGGGACCTTGGAGATCTTCTAGTCCAACCCCTTGCTCATGCAGAAGACCTTATACCATTTCAGATAGATAGCTGTCCAGTCTCTTCTCTGTCCAGTGGTGAAGCACCCACAACTTCTGGTGGCAAGCAGTTCCACTGGTTAATTGTCCTGACTGTTAGAAAGTTTCTCCTTAATCCCAGGTTGCTTCTCTCCTTGATTAGTCGTAAAAACACTCGGGCTAGTACAAGGGGAAAAACCCAATTAAAATCCAGAGCATTCAATGGGTTTTGAAAAAGACACACCTGAACACTCCCTTCCTGTCCCCACCCCACTCTAAGGTCAGAGCATCACAATACAGGCACCCCCACGCTTAGAGAGGGAAAGGGTAAACAATAAGAGACCATTGTTAAAAGTCCTGCATTGTGTTGGTGCCATTAGACCATACTTAGAATCCCCTGGGACCAAGGCCGGCCCGATGCAGGCTTAAAAATAAAGGGCATCAGAATTAAGCAAGAAACAGATTGTGAAGTCATTTCCCC